TTCCTTGTCTCTAGATTCTGTCACTATAAAATGGCAGTTTAGAATCAGATGGTTCACTGCCATCTTTTCTATACAAATCTATGACTCATGCCAGGAGACTAATAAAAGTCACGAGTGCCCATTAAATAACTGTGATCTGCATTTGGTCTAGAGTGTATCAATTTCAATGTAAGCTCAACACTAAACAGCTGGAAAATAAGTGGGAAGGTGTTCCTTCTTTTGTGAAATGAGATAACAGCAACGTTTTTGCAAAAAAGAATTATAGATTAACAGAAAGAATTTAGAACAGTTTGAGCACTCAAGAAGTGCTAACACTTTTAATTGTAGTATCACATTCTCTCTTTTTCTTAAAATTATGAAAAAAATTATCAACAATATGAGTTCCCATTCTTTAACTGGAAAGGAAACATTCTGGTGTATTTGAATAATGATAAAGTACAGTTTTGTTTTCCAGGGTATTAGAGCAATAACATTTCTAGATATGAACATTTTTCAGATTTGTCTGAAAATCAATAACTTAAAAGCATATTAAAATTTTATAGTATGGAATTTTATCATCTGTAAATTGCTTTTTCAATAGTTGTACACAAAAATGCTCACACAATATTCTGGGATAACAATAAAAAATAAAATAGCTGATACTTGATCAACTTGTAGAAAACTAAGAGGACATAGATGTATAAACTTCTGTCAGTTCCACTAGACTAAGTGTATTGCAAATGTGTTTTAAAGGGAGATCTATAGCAAGGAAGGAAGGACAAAACAGTTGGTGAACTGTGTTTAGCTTCTCCTGTACACACGATAAACAATGTGCATCTCACATTTTGTACACGGTAATTACCTGAGGAACTTGTTGAAACTCTGACTCCAGCTCTATGTTAACAATCAACATCCAGTTTTAACATGCTTCTCGAATCATTGTGATGCCAGTGGTTGCACATAAAATTTAACTCTGAACTAAAGAAACAAATCTCAAAAATCTCAAACACAGTAATGTTATATTTGTATATTACCTTTTACCTACAAGGGCTTCCCAAGGCCTCACCCCATTCCAACAATCGTCTCCACACAGGAACACAAGTCTGACAGTGACAACCATTACTTTGAAAACAAAGAAATAAACAGAAGGTTTTTTTTCCCTTGAAGTATATTTCATGATGAAATATCTCAAAAATCAAAGATAAAAAATTCAAGATACTCCACAAGAGAGAAAGCCACGGATTTCAGAATTTCAAATTACTGGAGTTAAGAGAATTTCACACTTCCTACTCCTAGATGTTTAAGAAAAGAAAGTCATGATGTAATTTAAACACACGAATGAACCTATCCTTCTGTTCCCAAGGAGAAATTATGGTGTAGCTAAAGATAAAAGAGTAAATAGAACTTGGCAAAGTGCTGACCTTTACCAACACCAGCCGACTGCCAGAGTTCACCTAAAGCATAGAGATAAAACACACAAAGTCAGCCTCACATCCTCCCCAAATGCTGAAATAAAATTTGGGGGCTTAGACCCTGGGATTTAATCTTTTGAATGTGGTTCCCTAGTGAATCTTATACTCACTCAGTGGCAAAGAGAGAAGAACACTCTTCTTTGGTGACTCACCTTATAGAATATTTTACACTTACACAATGATGTGGACAATTTATAAGTCAACACTTTTTTTTTTAATATCTAAAGACTGGAATTCATCCACATATTCACCAAGTTGGGAACAAGTAAGTAAGTTATAGTAAAGTTTCTTCCAAAATAATACTATTTCGCTACAGAAAATGATAGAAGTTGGACATTGGTGGTTCATCTCTCTATGATCCTAGCTACTCAGAAGGCTGAGATGTAAGAATCAGGGTTCAAAGCTAGCAAAGGAAGACAAATCTGCTAGATTCTTATCTGCAAATAACCAGTAAAATGTCAGAACTGGAAGCAAGTGGTAGAGCATTAGATGTTGAGACAAAAAACAAGCCAGAGTGAGAGGGCCTGACTTTAAGAGCCAGGATGACACAACAACAACAACAAACCTGTAACACACATACATACACACATACACACAAAAAACTCAAACAACAAAGAATCACTACCACCACCACTACCACAACAGCAAAACCACAGAGGCATCTAAGATTTCCTTCAGCTGCTAGACAGATGAACCGGCACTTCTCAAGTACTCAATATTTGGACATAATTTTTTAAAAAGAGCTATTAAAGATAAATACATTGGCATATCTATAGTTCTAGATTTTAAACAATGATTTTAAAAAGGAAGAATCAAACCATTGAGCCTAGAAAAGACACTGAAGAAGAATCTTAACTGCATATTACTAAACAAAGAAATCACCCAGAAAAGCAGACCACACTGGTGAATGATTCCAATAATATTACAGCCGGAAAAAGGAAAACTCTAATGATAATAAAAGATGTGTGGTTCCTGTGGTTCAACAGGAAGGAGAGACAAATACGTGGTGAAGTACAGCAGTTTTAAGAGAGTTATAATATTCTCTATGAAACTACAATGATGAATAATGAGTCAGGTGTCAAATCCTGTACAGCATTCACCATCAAGAATGAACCCTGATGTAAATGATGGTGTGACAGCATATCAACACTGGCTTATTCATAACAAAAGACGAAAAATGTTTTGCGATCATGGTTAGGAATTCCAATTGCTCTTTTATCCATGTGACTCTGGCCTGGGTGTTCTACAGTTCTAGAAACTGTGCTTATTCCAGTAAACGGAGTCAGCAGCCGATAGGTGTTGGTAAAAGTCAGCACTTGCTAGTTCTATTTCATGTACTATAAAACAAGATGTAAATAACAGAAAAGCTATGAAATTCCAAGAAGCATCTGCTCAATTATGCTGGAAATTTAAAACTATACTAAAAACAGACATTAATTATTTTTAAAGGTAATATTTTACAGAAAAAACACACAAAATAAATACAAATGTCTCCATTCTGACCTGTCACCATCCATCTACACATAAATATATGAAATACCAGGAATTCAGGCATACTTTACACTAGAGAAATTTTAAGTCTGAATATTGTCCTTCCTCAAGGGGGATCATACAAAAATTCTCTTATAAAGAATATGTTTCTCTCTAATTTTTAATTTCTGGATTTTCAAAATTAAAAATTTTAAGTAGCTTCTGCTATAACATATGTACTACATAAAATAAGGCCCACTGGTAACATACAGTATTTAGCAGTTGTTAGCAGACACCAGGTGCATATGGGCTTCAGTAAGCCTGTGGCAGGGCCATGAGGTTTTGTGTTCCAATAAGCTGACTTGAACTAACCAGAGTTGCTCTACTGTCAACTTACACAGAACACTAGGTTCTGTGTGAGCTGTTGTTTGATTAAATAACTACACAGGGTTTAAAATTACATAAAGACTATTGGATTAAGCTATTATTCCAGTTATTTTAAAATTAAAAACCACATACAATAAGTTCTCATGTACAATTAGAAATTCTTCATCTTTCAACAAAGCATCTCAGGAGGGATGTGTAACACAGATACCTTCAGTAGCCAGAGGACAAGCATTCAGGGCAGGCATAAGTATACTATTCATTATATAAGAGCCCGACACATAGTGACAATAATGTTCTCTCCAGTGAACAGACATACTCTGCAGCGCACAGCTGACTAATCTTTACTGAACTCCTTGCTAGTTGGGAAGGAAAGATATTCCCTTCTATGGTGCAGAAAACTGGTGGAGAGTGTTAGAGGCATGGGCCAAGTGGTAGAGTACCTGCCTAGCAAACACAACATCCTGAGATCAGAAAGGGACAGGTGCTAGTAGATTGCACTTACAATCCTAGCTACTGAGGGGGCTGAGAACTAAGGATCATGGTTCAAAGCCAGCTTTGGTAAGAAAGTCTGCATGTTTCTTATCTCCAATTAGCCACCAAAAAGGCAGAAGTAGATCTGTAGCTCACATGTTCGAGTGCCAGCCTTGAGCACAAAAGCTCAGAAACAGCACCCAGGCCCTGAGTTCAAGCCCCCAGAAGGAAACAAAAACAAAAAAAAACCACAGAAAAATCTATCTTTTTTTTTTTTTTTGGTCAGTCGTGGTGCCTGAATTCTGGGCCTCGGTGCTGTCCCTCAGCTCTTTAGCTCAAGGCTAGCGCTCTACCACTTGAGCCGCAGCACCACTTCTGGCTTTTTCCTGCATATGTGGTGCTGAGGAATTGAACCCAGGGCCTCATGCATGCAAGGCATGCACTCTTCCACTGAGCCACCTTCCCAGCCCAAACCTATCTATCTTATGTGCTAGGTCAATTAACAAAAAAAACAAAAAACTAATGCTAGGTCAATTTAAAAGACAGCGTTGTCAGAACTCAAATTGTTTAGAAGGGAAAAATAAATGGAACAGCTGTAGATTCTGTTGTTCTGCAATTAGTACACTAAATTTGTATGAATGGTCATTTATTTTAAAAATACTCATCAATGGTTCTGAAAAGAAAACATATATGAGTCATGATTTAAAACTACTAATAATGAAGATGGTCCTCAGAACTGAGATTCTTCTCACATTCTGCCTATGCTACCATTTAGAGATGAAGAAGCAGAAGAGACAAGCAACTGCAAAACCAATGAGACAAAGGAATCCAAGTCTAATGTCATCATCATCTTCCTTTTCTTTTTCTTTTTTGCTAGTCCTGGGGCTTGAACGCTGGACCTGGGCATTGTCCCTGAGCTTCTTTTTGCTTAAGGCTAGAATTCTACGACTTGAGCCTCAGTCCCACTTGCAGCTTTTTTGAGTAGTTTATTGGAGATAAGAGTCTCATGGACTTTCCTGTCTGGGCTGGATCCTCAGATCTCAGCTTTCGAGTAGCTAGGATTACAGGCATGAGCCATTGGCACCCGGCTCATCTTTATTTTCTATCACTGCAGACAAAATTTCTGATGACTAAAACCATGGGCAGTACTTTTTATAAACAGAAATATTAATGAAAAAGAAAAGGGTTATGATTTCTCATAGCTAACTTTTTGTGGCTTACCTGAAATCCATGCTTGCCTCTCCACCATGTACTTAGCACTTTGGGGGGCATGTCAATAACAGAAACGATGTCTCCCACCTAGGAGAACCAATTTTTATATAAAATGGTTTATTTATAAATTTTTATATTATTATATCTCGAATTAACTGTTTAATCTTGACCTAGCTATACAAAAAGTAAAGTACTATTTTATGTTCTGCCTAGTAATTTCTGATGAAACATATTATTTTAAGAATCATACCTTTCATTAAGCAGTTTTACAAAAAGTTAAATAGCATAAAAACTGTGATACAGCTACCATTGTATGTAAGTTCAGAAGCCAAATCTAGTGTTAATGCTAAGCATCATCTCATCATTATTATGGCTGTTAAAATGCAATCTCCAGTTTATGACAGTTAGGATTTACTACAGTATAAATGCAATATGCATTTAGTAGAAACTCTAATTCACCTTTTAGTGAGTTATATGTTGTGTGTAATACTCTGGTGATGCTGGACAGCAGTTCCCAGTCCACAGTGTAATCAATGGGCAAGCAACTGTATTCTAGAGTTTTCTTAGCTAGGATGCTAAATAGGTTAGGATGCTAAATGTTAAATACATTTGTTTTGTCTTGAGGCACAGTCTTATTATGCATCCCAGGCTGACCTGAAATCCATGATACTCTTGCCTCAGCCTCCTCAATAATGATATTACAGGCATATACCACCATATCTACCTAAATGCAGTTTTTACTTAATGAAATTTTCAACTTAAATTTGGCTGAAATCCCATCCTCAGCCAAGGTACTTCTGTAGTTAGTCAATAATGTCACTACAAATGACTGACTCACTTTGCTTCGAATACTACTAATGAGATAATACTAACTACCAAGCACAATTTACTAAACATTTGACATATCTTATTTAATCACATATGAAAAGACGTAAGAGGAGTATTAATATGTGTAAAATTTTATAACTCCATTTCTTTCATTAGATACTACAATATAATATTCCATAAAGGGCTATTTTTTTCCATTGGAGATCATAAAGGAATGAATTTATACAACTCTAAACAAAATCATAAATATAAAAATTATAATAATTGTTGTATGATATTTATTTATTTACATTCATTAATCAGGGTGGAAGTGTGGCTCAAGCAGAAAAGCAATTACCTAGCAAGTGTAAATCTCAGAGTTCAAACTCCAGTATCACCCAAAAAAAAAAAAGTGTGTGTGTGTGTGTGTGTGTGTGTGCATACATAAAAATTAACTGGTCATCAGTGGCTGATGCTTGTAATCCTAGTTATTTGGGAAGCTAGTAAAGTGTGTCTAATTTAAATGATAAAGTGAAAATATATTTGCTGAAAGATGGCAGATTTTTAGCCAAAGTTAAGTAGTGTTATGGGAAAAAAAAGAATAAGATCTAAAATACTGAAATAAAGAGTAGGATGTAAGAGTTAGTTCTTGGTGAGCAGTAAAAGTGAATAGCAGTCATTTTTTTGTTTGACAGTAATGAAGCCTACCTTATGCAGTTTCAAGTTATGGATTCCTAGACCTACTATACGTAGAATCTAAATAAATTTAAATAACTTTAAAGTACTGAACTATATACATTCTAGGCATTTGCATTTTTCTCAGCAGCAGTCTTCCTAAGATCCTGTCTATACCATGGATCTACAGTAGCAAATTTTTAGCAATCTGTCTTCATATATTTACAGTGACTTTTTCAAGTCATGTACAAGTCATCTTCAAAGCTCTGTTTGCTAATCAATATGGCATCTTTCAAGTCCTGCATTTCTTTTTCTATAAAACATTAGTTGAGAATAGTTCAGATTCTATTCTGCAAAAAATGTATACTATTCTTTCTTAAGATGGAAGAGCATTTAATTTATCTCCCAACAGCTAATGTCTCTTTTAGAGGAAGAAGTAATTCACGTACTTTTGCATCTGATAATAACTTTCATCTGCTTTTTCAACTACATTTTTAACAAACATTTTAAAAAGGTATCCTTTAGTATTATTGTTGTTAGGCACCAAAAACCACAAAGATAAAGACTTTGCTTTTAAGAGGTCCATTGAGAAAGAAAACTTTAATTAAATGTAGCTAGTGATACATTTTAGCCATGAAAGCAGTTACTAATGTGACTCGATCCAACACTGGGGGTGTGGTGTCTGTATGGAGTGAGATCAAGAACTGCTTCCTAAAACACCACATCTGAGGATTAAAGATGAGTACAACCATTTAAACAGAAGTAGAAACCATCCCAGGCTGAAAGATAAACACTACAGAAAGTCATGGCACTTTCAATATTTTTCAAAAAACATTAAGTGAGTCACCTATTAAAATAGTTAAGGATGAGGCACCTTTAGTACTTACCTCTAAAGTCAGTTCATCAGGAGCCCGAGCAGTGTACCTCTTTATAACATGGGCAGCACCAACAGCAGGAGTGTTGATGGATGATTCCTCATGAACCAGAAGATGGTTTCCCTTGTTATCAATCTGTAAGGAAGAACATGAACCATGAGATGATTAAAGACATGGAGCTTGCAAATGTATCCATGACTATAAAAGGTAGTTCAATTAAGAAAGACAATATACCTAAAAGGTCTTTCAAAAAAACCCTAATTATACCAGCTAATATAGCACAGCTGTGCTACATATGTAATCTTTATGCTTTTATTTAATCCTCATATTTCTAAGATATTTATAAATGTAATTGTCATTTCTAAAGGTGAAGATGCTAAAGCTAAAAGAAATATTGTAATTTAAAAAGGTTAAATTATTTTTCCAAGATAACAGAGGCAATACTGGAGAAGTCAAGATAGCAGTACAAGCTCAAGCTGGCTTGGTTCATATTTTTATATTCTAACCTTGCCTTCCCAATTTCTATGGGAAGCATAGAATAAATCTACATATGCACAAATGAATAAAAAATATTGAATACATTTACTGGATATTTCACTCACAATATGCTTAAATCAGAACCTGTGAATAGCTTTCATCTGCCCACAAACAACTAAAATATTTTCCATGATCAAGTCAACTAAAAAATAGATATTTGTCAAGTATTGATATTAATCAAATATAAAATCAATATTAATAATTAATAACATTAATTAAATACCTAAAAATCATTAAAGATTTGAAATGAAAAATATGTCATGTATCACATGACCTTCTCCTAGTAGATGAGAATAAATTTAATTTCGCTGATTTTGAAAATTCAATAGTTATCAAATATTAACTTAATATTAAACTTCAGTGAATAATTTTAAAATAAACTTTCATCAAAGGTAAACTGGGTAATACCTCCATCCAGGTAAGTGCAGGACCACAGTTGATCTTGTTGCCAGCAATAGCTGAAAGGCGTGACAGGTAAGCCATGAGCATCTGAGTGACGGACTAAAAAGAGAGAAAAGCCCAGCACAACTCAGAGTAGGAAGAAACTACATTCTCTGCCTGAGGAACTGTCCTATAAATTGATTCTTTCTAGGGAAAAAATTTCTATAGATGTTTAGGCATTTTGATAATTGTAGAGTAGCCACTGAAATCACGGGCACTTCCACAGTAATTTGGAGCCTGGTCTCACCTAATGGTCAGGGTTCATACTATTCTATAGATTCTGATTTTATTGCTTCTCTTCCTACTTTTTGTTAAATGAAAATGCCTAGCTTTTTTCCTCTTAAGCCTTTTTACACGAAGACCCAAGACTCTCTATAATCTTCTCAGCACATGGTGAGGCAGTAGCAGCACATTCATTCACTTCTATACCTTGGTATGGTGTGGCTCATTGTTCTGGAATGAGAGAGTTTGTGGCAAGAAGGTGAAAAAGAAAGGCAGAGTTGGGAAATAAAGGCAGAGAGACATGCAGATTTTCTATGGTATGCAGGATCTTTGTGTTTTTGTACACTCCTGAGCTTCTGCTGCAATAGTTCCTGGAGAGCTGGTGTTCATGCCTCTAATACCATCGATTGGGATTCATTTTAGACTTAAAATGACTTTCCCTCGCTGTGCCTACACTGCTTTCTAGTCCACTGTGGCTGAAGACTGCATGAGTAATTTTGGTTCTTTTTAGGGAACCTACTTTTTTCTCTCTCAATTTCAGGATTTTGTTTTATTATTTTGCTTTAGCTACAATGTTTCTTAAATATGAGTCTCCACTCATTATATGACAGAACTTAATTGACAATTTGAATCTGAAAACATTTGTCTCCAGCGAACTGTATATTAATAATGTTTTAATTGTTTCCTTCCATCTATTCTCTTCCCTTACAACCCTTTGAAGTGGGAACTATTCTGGCCTTATTCTCCACAATTTCCAACTTCTTAGTTTTTTTTTTTTCCCTTTCAGAGGTTGTATTCTTATTAAACACATCATATCCTAGCTCTTCAATTCTCTCCTTACCTGTGTTCATTTTGTATATAGTTCAATTATTCAGGCTTGCTATTACTAAAGTTAACTTAAATAATATTTTCATTTCCAAGACCTACTTCATTTTATAAAATTGTTTTCCTTTCATGGATTTGACAGATTCTCTCCCACTTGAAGGAGAATAGCCTTATTTTCTACACATCCTTATCAGTTCTCCTTTATTTATTCAGTGCTCTGTAGAAAACTGGTTTATTTATCTTCCGCAATCATTCTATATAGTATATATATGGATTTTTAGGTTTTATTTTCTCTTCTCTATAAATCTTACCCAGTTACTCTCAATACACCTCACAAATTTTGATTCCTCCATACCATTTTTTTTTTGTTCATTGATGCAATATTTTTTTCATTTTTTTTCACATTTTAAAAATCTTTGTTTTAATGGTGGTTCATTCTAGAAATCCCAGCTACTTTGGAGGCTGAGAACAGAAGAATCATGGTTTGAGGCCAGCTTGGGTGTACACAAGACACCCCTAAGTCAATCAACAGCTAGTATACATTGGTATAAGACTCTTACCTGCAGCTCTCATCTCTCAGCTGCATAGAAGGCTGAGATAGGGAGGATCGTGGTTCCAGGTCAGCCTGGGCAGAAAAGTCTAAAGACCATTTCAACAGGAAAGGAGCTATCACCCAAGATATAATGGGAAGTCTAAAATACGCAGATCACAATCCATGCGTGTACAAGACAGGAAGTGAGACTTCATCTCAAAAACATGAAGTAAAGAATGGCTGGAGGAATACTTCAAAAGTAAAGCATCTACCTAGCAAGCATGAGTCCAAACCCTAATACCACCAAAAGAACGGTTTATAATCTTTCGTTTTACTAGAATTTTTTGGTGAGAATACAGATACCTACAGCATATCATCCTAAATTCAACAAACAGCACTTAAACACAGATTTCTTTAATTATTAGTGAAGAAAACTTCACATTTTCATTTTATTTTTATTCCTTCATTGGAATGGTCTCTTAACACATTGTCTGTTTATATATCATTGTTAGGAGTTTTTACTTTCTTAAAATTATACATTGAGCCTACTTTAACCCTAAACATCTTACTGTTTCCCATTATGAAATAAAATAAAAAATCCCAGCTTCTAAGTGTTCAACCAAGTTTTTATTTAATACTAACAATAACTGCTGGTTCATATGTAGCAAATACTTACCTCTGGACTCTCCTTCAGGCTGTCAGAACGGGGAAGCTCTGAGAGCTGGGAAAACCGTCGGTCATAAATACAGAGATGAAGATGTTTATCAAGTACCCGAAAATCTTCATAACTTCTTTTAACAATCCAACTTTTGCCCTATAGGTAAGGAAAGAAAGCATTCCTAGAATTCATCTTTACCTGAAAATTCTTAGGAATTAAGACTTAATTCACAAAGGTATTCTATTCTCTTATTTATTTTATTTAATGGCATTTTATTTAAGATGAACTTCTATTAACTTGATAATTAGTTAAAACTAAATCACTCTAGTTAGCTATACTATTAAAAGATCAGTAATAGAAAATAAGATAGTACTCTCCATTAACTGTTTTACTACCTTTAGTCAAAGTCCACTGCCTTTCTAAGAATAACCATGAGATGGTATGGTAATACTTAACCTAAAACTTACTGAAATAACAATAAAATAACTTTGATCAGAGGACATTTCCTAAAACTAAAAAACAATAAAATTAGTTTATTGATTAGTTATCAACAACATTTTCCATGGCTGAGACTAAAAATATACCAAAAATAAAAAATATCCAACTATCCTCCTGAAAGGCACTAACATCCAGACTACATAAGGAATTCAAGTAACTTAATAGCAAAATAAGAATCTGATTTTTAAAATATACAATAGACTAAATAGACATTTTTCCTGAGAAGTTATACAACTGGTCTAAAGGTATATGAAAAATGATCAATATTACTAGTCACAAGGGAAACACAATCAACACCATCATGAATTGTATCAACTCATTATAGTTGCTACTATAAAGAAAAAAGATATTGTATGCTGATGAACATATTGAGAAGGAATATACGTTAGTACAGTCATTATGGAATTATATAGAAGTTCCTCAATATTTAATAAGAGAATTTCCACATAACCAGGCATCTTTAATGCTGGATATGTAGCTTATTTGACATATCTGTACTCTCAAGTTCATTGTAACATTATCCACAAATGCCAAGTAAACAATCTCTACCCATCAATAGATGAGTGGAAAAAGAAAATGTGACACACATCAGTATGTGTATAACACATATGTGTATAAACTGCAAAATATGTATACTATACATTATTTTATTATATATTTTATAAGGTTTATAAATTATTATAGTATACTTATTTATAAATCCATATTTATAATGTATATATACATCATGCTAAGGAAAATAAGGCAGGTACAAAGACAAAAGCCCCATTTTCTCTCTAATAAGTGGAAGGAATCTAAAATAATCAAACTCACAGATATAGAAAGCAGAATTGTGGTATGAAGGCTGGGGAAGGGATGATTACACAGAACAGGGACATAGATGTTACTCAAAGGAATAAAGTTACAGCTATACAGGAAAAATAAGTAACTATGTAAGGTAAATATGTATATATATACATATGCATGTACATGCATATGTATATATTCACATATACCTGGAATGGAGGTTTAAAATATATACATACTCACAATGGATGGAACCACACACTACAGACATGGCATCTCCCAAATCTTACTACATTACTAACAGTCTCCTGTCTGGAGCTCTCTTCCCCTTTCTACCCTGTCTACCCAAGTACATCATATCTGCCTTTCCACAAAAAGTGCAAGATAAATGGTGAACAAAAAGGAAAAAAGTTTTAAAAGAAGGAACAAACAACAGAACAAGAGTCATATATGGAAGGAATGCAGGAAATTAGAAATTTTAAAAACTATGATTAATATGTTAAAGGCTTTAAAGGAAAAAGTAGAAAATATGCAAAACTAAATGGGTAACATAAGCAGGAAATGGGAAATTGTAATAAAGAATGAAAAAGAAATGCTAGAGACCAAAACCACTGTCAGAAAGAAAGAATGCTTCTCATAAATTCATAAACAGACTGAATACAGCTGAGAAAAGGATCTCTGAGTTTCAGAGTATCACAACAGAAAACTTCCCAAACTGAAAAAGAAAGGGAAAAAAGTCTAGAGAAACAACAGAACATTCAGAGATGTTAAAGGGAGGAAAATAGAGAAAAGATGAGAAGTAATATTTGAAACAATAATGACTGACAATTTTTTCCCATTAGGGTCAGATATCAAACTAAAGACGTTGGAAACTCAAAGAACACAATACATAACAAATGCCAACAACAAAAATACAATATTTTATACCAGAGCATATTATACTCTAACTTTAGAAAATTCAAGATAAAGGAAAAAAAACTTCAAAAAAGCCCGAGAAGAAAAATACCTTATTTATAAAAGAACAGAAGCTATGTAAACAAAATTTGTTGAGAAAAGAAAACAAACAAATGAGTCCAACTTAAAATTCTGAAATTATCCTTCAAATGCAAAAGTTAAGCAAAAATTTATGACCAGGAGACTTATAAGAAACACTAAAAGAAAATCTTCAAGGAAAATTATGTAGGTAAGAAATTCATATTACATTTAAAAAAAGATACTAAAGAACTAAGTGAAGGTAAAAGAAAACTATTTTTTGTGATACTGTAGTTTCAATTCAAAGCCTTATACTTAGCTAGGCAAGCTTTCGACCTCATATACTCAGCTATTGTTTTACTTAATTGGTCAAAGTATGTTCAAAATAATAACGATGTATTCTACCAGGGATGTGGATGGTGTATATATGCCGGTATAGAGGCTTTTGTAGAATACTTTTCTATTAAGAAGTACTCATCTAATCTGTAAAGTGGCATAATGCTAAAATGCATATGGCAAACTTTATGACAATCACTAAGGAAGTTTAAAAATCATGTAACTGACTATTAAAGAGAAGAACCATGCCGGATGCTTGTGGCTCATGCTTATAATCCTAGCTACTCAGGAGACTGAAATCTGAGGATCATGATTCGAAGCCAGCTGGGGGCAGGAAAGTCTGTGAGACCGTTACCTCCAAGAAACTACTCAGAAAAAGCCAGAAGTGGTGCTGTGGCTTAAGTGGTAAAGAACTAATGTTGAGCCAAAGAAGCTGAGAGACAATGCTCAGGCCCAGAGTTCAAGGCCCTGGACCAGCAAAAAGGAAAGAAGAGAAGAAACAGAATCATTAAAATGCCCAATTAAAATGCAGCCAGATAGTAGAGTTCTCGTCAATGAGCGAAAGCATCAGATACTGAGTTCAAAAGTCCAGTCTCTAACAAAAGAAAGCCACACAAACAAAAGAGCGGAATTTAAATGTTCTCACTATACATAAAACAATATGAGGTGATAAGTATACTAATTACCTTAACTGTGGTAATTATCTCGCGATGAATGTATATATCAACACATCATGTTCAGAGTATAGAGTAACTATAGCTAGTAGAGTTCTTTGCCTAGCATTTATGAGAGGTCATTGTTAATTCCTCAGAACTATAATTCATTTTTTTCTTTGCTTGTTGGGTTTGGTTTAAACTGTACACATTTTTTGTCTTTTCTTTTCTGGTCCTGGGATCAAACCCACGACATTGCACTTGCTAGGCAAGTGCTTTGATACTGAGCTACATCTTAACCCAAATTTTTTTATTTTTTACATTTTGGTCCATTGAGGGGCTTAAATTCAGGACCTGAGTGCTGTTCTCGAGTTCTTTTGCTCAAGGTTAGCACTCAACCACTTTGAGTCACAGTGTCACTTATAGTTTTTGAGTGGTTAATTGGAGATAAATAGTCTCACAGGGACTTTCCTGCCCAGGCTGGCTTTAAAACATGATCCTCAGATCTCAGCCTCCTGAGTATAGATCACAGGCATGAGCCACTGGTTCTGGGCCTCAACAACTCATTTTTTAAAGTCATGTTTTATATCTTAAATATGTACATTTTTTTGTCAATTACACCCACAGGGGTGGGTGGAGACATCAAAAGTGTAGGAGACAAAAATAAGAACCAAGAACAAAGGCAACAAATAAACTATAGTAGTAAATATGGCAGATATTAATCCATCAATGTCCCTAGTCACTTTAAAACCAATGATCAGGGCTGGCTGGGAAGGTGGCTCAGTCATAGAGTGCTTGCCTTGCATGCATGAGGTCCTGGATTCCATTCCTCAGCACCACATAAGCAGAAAATGCCGGAAGTGGTGCTGTGGCTCAAGTGGTAGGTAGAGCGCTAACCTTGTTGAAGAGCTGAGGGACAGCGGCCAAGACCCAGAGTTCAGGCCCCATGACCAACAAACAAAAACAAAGAAACAAAAACCCAATGATCCAATGGAATTCTAGGCCTCCATCAGAAATAATGACACCGCCACATTTGTTAGGAAATGGAAAGACTTGAAAAAAATTATACCAAGTGAAGTAAGCCAGGCCCAAAGAAACATAGTTATTTGCAATAGCTAGTATATATCTAGGATAATCTTACCAGAAAAATAGAAAAGGTCAAAAACTACGCACATATGACTATATAAGATGATACTAAATGAAATGAGCCCCAAGATGGGGATATACGAGGGTCTTTTTTATTGCTGTTGTTTTTAATGTACTTATAATGTACTATGTGATTTCTTTTCTTTCATATGTTCTTCCTCCATGGTATAACCCCTGTTTTCACAGTACCCTTGCATACACATCTAATTTGGGGAGGGGAAGGGAAATAACAAAATGCTGAAACAAGGATACAGGCTGACCCACTATAACAATGAGATGTACAAGACACTATGTTGAAAATGAACTTTACGTTTTGTGTGGGGAGGAGGAAGAGTTGGAGAGGTAGGGAGGGAAGAGATGGTAGGGAGTAACAAAGGGGGGGTAACAATGCTCGACAGGAAATGTACTCATTACCTTACTCATGTAACTGTAACCCCTCTGTACAGTATCTTTACAATAAAAATATATATTAAAAAAACAATGATCTAGGCCATTAACTAACATTCTGATGTTATCAGAATGAATTAAAAAGCAAGACCCAAGAAGGCAATTTAAATGCAAGACAAATAGATTAAATCAAAGGCATGGAGACAGGTACACCATTGCTAACACTAATAAAAAGAAAGCAGGAGTTTTTATATTCATTTCATAAAGTGCAGATTTCAGATGAGTCAGATTTACAAAGGATAAAAAAGGTAGCAGATAATAATAAAAAGATTAGTACTTTAATAAGATAGAACAATCCTTAATGCATATATTTCTGGG